ATATATATATAAACACAACACAAAACATATAACACATAAAATGGATATATATAGAAAGAAGAATAATGCACATACAAATGACATAGATAAGAATGACATAGGAAAGACAATTTTTATCTGTCCACTCTTTAAACAACTAGATAAAGGTAGGTTTTGGTAATAAGTATGGGTGGAGTGAATGAAATGATAATTTCCAATAAATAAAATTCAATAGTCTTTAGCATTGGTCTATGTTCAGTTAGCATTGAGGTGGAAGCCAGCTCCTTACTACATCCACATAAAATACGACCCCCTACAGATCCTTTTCTAGAGCACTCAAACATGCTATTTCTTTCACACACCCATCTACCAATAGAACTTACCTATTGAGTGCACATTCCTGTCAGGAATTTCTGTGCTTGTCATTTATATCCATCTCTTCTATTAGACTGCAAGCACTTCTAGAAAATCCTCAAACATTCTGTTGATCATATTTACTTTTTCCAAGTATGATATGCAGCTATTCTAACTCCAGTACAAATCATATACATGTCAATAAGAAGTTATGAAGATGATGATAAGTTAACCATTTTTTCCCCCATGGTAATTTGGAAAGTCTTTACTCAAACGAAAATTTCAAAGGTGCTCCTAATATTCTGTCTGAATATCTGTGACCAGATATCTTTGATTTCATGAAGAAGTTTAGGACTCATCTGCATACCAGCAGTCAGGCTAAGATTAGCCCAGATTCTTCAGACATGTTCTGAAATCCACTCCTACCTACGATTTTGACTGTGAAATGCTTCTCCTTTTGCCTTCCCTGAAGGAATATTTAAACATGAATGATGGAAACTATGAGTCTGGGGAAGGTCATTCCCTAAAGTGTCCCTGTCCTTCCAATTAAGAAACATGAACCCTATGTAATAAAGAACTTAATCTTCAATTTGTCTTATTATAAAAATGGTGACTTATAGCAAATAGAGATTGCAATTAGTGATCTATTATTGTAAATTTAGATGTTCATATGAATCATATGCCATTTATTTTGATAAAAATAAAAACTGATGGTTATCTAAGGCCAGATCTCATTGTTTTTAATTTTTTAAGATTTATTTATCTATGCATACTGTACTGTGGTACAGGCCAGAGGTGTAGAGGCAGTGAGAGGATTCACTAGAGACAGAGTGGGGAGCAGAACAGGGACATTGACTAAGTACACTTCTGAGGGGAACAGTGGATGGGACAGGAGAGCTCCATGCAGCTCCCCTTCTGGGTATCTCGAACTCAAGGCCAGCTTCACAGTACTGTGCTTTAACCAGTTGTACTACCAGGGAGGGCCTGGCCAGGTCTCATTTCTCATACTATTGTCCTATATGACAGGACTTCTTCAAAAAGCTATGATTCTAGATCAGGGAAGAATGTATCAGTAGAGCTGGAGAATCTTACAGTACTGGTAAGGAAGGAAGTACTAATACACACATACACACACAATCAGCACTCCACCATGATGAGGATATGCCAAAAAGACACAGGATTAAATTGAAAGAATTCTTAATATACAAAAATGGAATAAAAATTTAGCAGCCATAAAAAATAATATTCACTTGATATATAACCCAGAGACATTACATATCCGTAAGTCAAAAAGAATTGAATTATTAAATAAACAGAGGAGAATAGACAAAATATTCTAACTGATTTTTGTGGGTATGTTGCCCTCAAAATTTTCCTTTTAAGTATGGAGTTAAGGATTTTAAAGTATTGCTCTTTCTCAATGTGATGCAATGTCATCAAAACCAACAAAAGCCAGGGAAACTGTGATATGCACTTACACCATGGTTGTCAGGATTAAACACTCCAGACAGTGAAGTAGCTTTTGTCTGCTGATTGAGTCAGAGGTCTGAGGAATTCGAAGTGGTCAGGCAGCAGCCTTATCTCCTAAATCTCCTACGATAAAATACTTTTGTGTCTCCTAGAATAAATATTTCTCTCTTAAACAAAGCTCTCTACACAAGAAAAATATGTTTATGGGAATAAGAGGAAAATTGTTGAAAATGAAACACTGAGGGTAATAGTGAATAGTGCTACTTGTATTTCTACTGTTTGATTAGAGGACTCATTAATTCTTGCAATGGGAGAACGAGCAGCTTAAATAAATGCTGATTTAGAGCATACTTTGGATTGTAGAGCACAAAAGACTCTTGCCCAGCCTGGTAACTTACTTCTACCTAGCTAATTCTGCAACTCATGCTTCAACAGGTCAATTCACCATTTGTCAGACTGAGTGATCTAGGATGATGAGAAATATGGTAACATCAATTAGTTCTATGACTTTTGGGTTACCTTTGCTCTTTATGTTTGAATTCAAATTTTATTGACTTACCACTCATTTAGAGAAGTATTTAACTTGAGAGTAGAACTTCACATGTCAGTGTACACATGCTTCATATACTCCCTAAAGGTCTGGCCGTATCGCAATAACAACTTCCTTTCCCTCTCTCCTCTGGAAGCCATTATATGTTTAGCAAAAATAAGGTATTTTGTTGTGTTTTTGTCCACTTCTTTTCCTTTGTTGTTTATACTTCAAAACTGAGTGAAAGCATACAATAACTGTCTTCCACATTATGTCATTTTACTTTGTATAATTAACTCAAGATCTATGCATTTGTTTCAAAGGTATTATTTCAACATTTAAAGGAACTTATTTAATAACTATTAATGGTACATAAGTTTTTTTTTTAAATCCAATTGGCTGTTAATTGGCATTTAGGTTAATTCCTGTCTTGGCTATGGTGAACAATCCTACTATGAATGTAGGGGATGCACATAGTTTTATACTCTTTGGGTAAATACCTAGAGGCATGAATGCTGAATTACATGGTATTGTCATTTTCTATTTTCAGAAATCTCCATACTACTTTCAACATAGATGGTATCTATTTCAATTTCCAACAACTGACTTTGGAAAGATATTTGTATTCCTACATCTGAAAGGGTGATTTTCCAAAGCTTATAAAGAACTCCTAGAGCTCAGCAACAACAAAAACAAAAATAAAACCCAATCAAAATATGGGTAGAAGTCCCAAATAGACACTTCCACTAAGAAGACACACAGCTGGCCTTTAGACACATAAACAACAAATGTTCAACACGAATTAAAAGAGAAATTCAACTTATCCATGATAAGCTATTATTTTATCTTTCTGATAATGATCTATATCAAGAGGACTGGAACAGAAAATCTCAGTGAGGAGCCAGAGAAAAAGAAACACTCATTCAGTATTGATAGAAATAAAAATGACTTTATTTAAAGTGTACTCCTTTATAAAAAAAAAAAATGCTGTGCGGAATACTTTGATGGTGGGTTAGGCATTCTATAAATGCATGAGTCATAGTTTGACAAAAACATTGCAAGCAGGGCAGGAAAATCCCTATCCATATTTAGTATCTGTGACATTGGAAACAAAATATAACCTCTTCCATGAATGAAGAATTCCAGTGTAAACTAGCTGAACGAGGCTAAAAATCCAGGGAATAGTGTCTCGGGGAAAACATACTGTTTTCTATTATTGCCAGACTGGGTACTCAATGGTGGTGACATCCATGAAGTTCTTGATGTATAGAGACCTATGTTGTTTAATTAAGCCATGACCTTATTCTATGCCCAGGGCCACCTGTTCAGAAGCTTACTGAGGTCAATAGTGTCAGGGAAAGAGTCTGACCTAGCATTTGCAAAATGGTTGATCCTATTTTCTTTATTAAAATTCACTTCAAATGTTCATTTCAAAATGTATGTTGAACATCAATTTATATTTTTCTATGTTATTTAAAAGACATAAAGAATCTAGGTTTACCTGATTTGGTGCTTATCAAGCAATAGAAAACCATGGGCTTTGTGATCAAGCTTACAAAAAAATATGCTAGCATCTGGGTCCTGGGCACAATGGACATGAAAATGCACAATGCCAAAAGCTATAAAATAATAAAATAAAATAAAATTTCAGAGGGCCTTGTATGGACTTATGGGAAACATATTATGAAGTAAGAACTATGCTTTACTCAACATTTTCCCTTTAGTTTCCACTCACAGAAACAAATCATAAAGTAACATAAATAAAGGTAAGTAATTATGCAAATGAATTTTGGCATTTTTCCAATTCCAAACAATACTATATACTAGATAATGTCCAGGACTACAAAACATCTTATAATCAGATGTTTAAACGTTCTACATACATAAAATAGTTTTTATGCAGTATACTAGACAACAGCCTTTGGAAAATTTTCCAGAGAAGCAGATTAAAAAATCCATGATATTTTAACAAGCTAAAATATTTCAGAGGATTGAATCATTCATGATATAACTCTCAAGAGATAAAGAAAAGAAGTAACCCCCAAACCATCTACATGACTATTATCATGGCATTGGCTTCATTTCTCAAATTATAACTACACATATTGGCTCCTGCACAATGTCTAGGGGATATTTTCCCTCTGGTCCTTTCTGTGTCTTGTAATTCAAGATAATCTCAATAATTCTTTGTTTAAAGGAGCTTTTGGATGGAGTATTCATGGGAGGGTGAGAGACTCTCCACACCTGTCTTCTGTGTATTAGTCCAGCTATAGAATAAAGGAAAGGAAACAACTTGTAGGATCACCTGGCATTTCAAGAGATGTAAAATCTTAAATCTTAAAGACGTCAGCATTATGATTAGTGTACATAGAACTAAAATAATTGGGAGTTTGAACGGTGCTTACTTTATATAAAATCCTTGACCTTCATAAATTCAAACTTTTAAATTTAAATTCTCCTGATACAATTTTATTGGTGGTTATTTTTATTTTTTAAAAAATATTTATTTATTTGTACAGACAGAACTGGGGTACAGGCCAGAGGCTCAGGGGCGGTGAGAGGCTTCACCAGAGACAGAGTGGGGAACAGAACAGGCAGATCGAGGAAGTACACTGCTGAGGGGAGCAGCGGGTGGGTCAGAAGAGGTCTGCCACACCATGTGGTCACCTCCGGGGCAGGCGGGAATGGAACTCATGCAGAAGTGGCTTTAGATTCTCAGTGCTGTGCTTTAATCCGCTGCGCCACCAGGGAGGGCCCAGTGGTTATTTTTAAGAGAAGACTTTCAAGAAAATCTGGAAGATAATTTCTGGGTAAATTGAGAAACTCGAGACGTTTTATTTGTAATTGTGAGAGATATGTGTGTAATGAAAAAGAGTATAAGCCTCCAAATCATATATAAAATGTTAGATACAAATTTCTCTTTAGTGTTTGTGCGATCTTGGAGTCTAGCTTCCTTGTCTGCAGAGTAGAGACAATAACACAATCATATATGCTTTATCAGTGATAGTGAAGATAAATGGTTGTTGTATTGAATATTTAAGGACAGTAGACTATATTATTACTTATTTTGTGTTATATAAACATTTTATTTTAAGTATATCATGTAATTAAGCTCATATTTTAATTTTACAAATGCTCTTTATCATTGATGTGGTAGTTAAACAGAGAAGTCATCAAGCTTGTGATGGATTTCACACTATCCATATTGCCTCCTGTCTTCCATCTCATTTTCTAATAATTTTGTTTAAGTGTAGTTCAGTTAAATGTAGCTTTGTTTTTTGGATAAAACTGTAGTTGGCATATTTTAACTAAGGCATCCTCATAAATAAATTAAAAATTTAAAGAAGATTTTTGGAAGAAACTAATTGAAAGGTATGTAAACAGATGACTCAGGTCTCTTTTTTCCAAAAACCATATCGCACTCTTATACCATTGTGTTTGGAAGCAGTGTGTGTTGTGTTGTGTTGTGTGTTTGTGTGTGTGTGTGAGAGAGAGAGAGAGAGAGAGAGAGAAGAAAGGGAAGAAAAGAGAGAAAGAAAGAGAAAAAGAAAGAAAGAAAGAAAGAAAGAAAGAAAGAAAGAAAAAGAAAGGAAGGAAGGAAGGGAGGGAGGAAGAAAAGAAAAGAAAGACAAAAAAATCTTTATCTTGTATTTTTAAAAATGGGTAGTATGGGTATAAACAAATCAGAAATCTTTGATTTAAGAATGAAATGGGATATTTCTGCCATAGGCTGTGTTCTCAGAGGTTGCTACAGGCACTTCTTTGAACAATGTTCTTTCATTTGGTCATGTGTTTTACTAAATAATTATAAATTGAGAAGACTGAACCAAATGTCAGGAATCCTGTGGTTTGTAAAATGTTTAGAGAACATTATAAATTAGAACCCATTAGATAAGGAGTTATCTTATACACATATTCCTCACTGGTATTATTAAAAAAAAATCACTACCACTAACATTCTGCAGGAAACCATGATTTTGCTGTGAAGAGTTATTTTATTATGAGTGAAAGGTAATGGTTTCCATATAGGTCAACTAGGTCTTTCTGTAGAATGCATTATGTTCCTCAATAGGTCAACCAAAAATGTGTAATCTCTAAGCTGTTGTAACATTTCAACATCACTCCAAAATATTTCTTATTTGCCTTTTCTTAGGAAAAATGGTCAACATTTATTTAACAAAAACTTTTTTTAAGATTTATTTATTTACTTGTGCATACAGAACTGGGGTACAGGTCTGAGACGCAGGGGCAGTAAGAGGATTCACCAGAGACAAAGTGGGGAGCAGAACAGGCAGATTGAAGAAGTACACTGCTGAGGGGAGCAGCGGGCGGGTCAGGAGAGGTCTGCCACACCATGTGGGTCAGCTCCGGGGAAGGCGGGGATAGAACTCATGTGGAAGTGCTGTGCTTTAACCTGCTGGGCCACTAGGGAGGGCCCACAAAACCTCTTTTTTTAAATCAGAAGCTTATCAATATATCCAGTTGTCAATTTTCCACCTGAAATTTGACCAAGCCTGCTAAGGAAAGTCACTAAACTATTGTTAACTAATTGAGCTATTTTTGCTATAATCAAGAGACTTAATTTTCTTATCACTTCAAAACAAATATTTACTTCCTTTAGAAATAAGTAATGTTCATGTGTGATCCGGACTTTATACATATGCTAACTAATAATAAGGGAAGCATCTTGTTTCAAGTTATAAAGGGAGGGAAGATTAATTTCCCACCTTTTAGAGAGAAAATCACTGGCATTTTATTTGGTCAGTAGACAAAGGGATAATCATCAAGGGCATTGAAATTGTGTCGGATCCAAGTCCATATCTTCAGTTACTTAATAACATCAGGGTTTTGGCACATTAGTAGAATCTTCCAATTTTTTTGTGTTTCCATAATGTAAAATGAAATCAGAATAGTAATTATTGGGTTGCTGTAAGTTAAATACATGCAAAATATGTGGAAGATTTAAAGACACAAATATATTGCATTTAATATCACCTGATAAATAATGTGAAAAGAATATATAAAATTAAGACGGTAATAAATATCATATGACCCATATGGTTTCAATGCATGAATTGTTCTAAAAATAAAATTTCTTTTGAAGGTGCTATGTTTTTTGTCATTTCAGATGAGTTGAATTCCTGTACCATGCTCTGGAATCACCTCAACCTCATGGAAAATCAGAACAACGTCACAGAATTTGTTTTCTTGGGGCTGTGGGAAAACAAGCGAATAGAGCTCCTTTTCCTGTTTCTGTTCCTGCTCTGTTACCTGGCCGTCTTGATGGGGAACTTCATCATCCTCTTCACTATCACCTGCAGCCACCTAATCCAGCAGCCCATGTACTACTTCCTCTGCCATCTTTCCCTCATGGATCTCTGCTACACCTCTGCTGTGATCCCCAGGCTAATCCGGGACCTGGCTGCTGCAAGGAAAAACATCTCCTATAGCAACTGCATGACCCAGCTCTTCACTGCTCACTTGCTGGCAGCTGTGGAGATTTTCATCTTGGTGTCCATGGCTTTTGACCGCTACGTGGCCATAGTCAAGCCACTGCACTACATGGTGATCATGAGCCGGCACAGGTGTAATATGCTGATTGTCCTGGCCTGGGGAGTGGGTTTTTTGCACTCTGTCGCCCTCCTGCTTGTGATGCTCCATTTGCCTTTCTGTGGCCCCAATCAGATAGATCACTATGTATGTGATGTCAAGCCTTTGTTGAAACTGGTGTGCAAAGACATTCATGTTGTTAATATCTTAATGATTGCAAACTCAGGGATGGTGGTTGTTGTGGTTTTCCTTGTCTTAGTAGTTTCTTACATTCTCATCTTATATAATCTGAGGACACATTCCTCTGCAGGGCGGCGCAAAGCTCTCTCGACCTGTAGTTCTCATATCATGGTTGTGGTTTTATTCTTCGTGCCCTGTATCTATATCTATAGTCTACCTGCAGGAAGTGAGAACAAGGATAAGGAAGTCTCAGTGTTTTACACTGTGATTGCCCCCATGCTGAATCCTCTCATCTATACCCTGAGAAATGTGGAGATGAAAAATGCTATTCGAAAGATATGGTCTAAGACAACACACTCAGAATTAAAGTGAATAGGTGCTATGCATTATGCTTTATGCATTATGTTTTCAGTCTGTGTGTGCAGGGTATTTATCATACAGACTGATGATGATCTGAGAAAGTAGATGTGAGTTACTCTCATTCAGATCCAATCTGTACTTCAAAGGAGTAAACTACTCAAAACTTGAGTGCTATATACCATGTCCACTGGTAACATCATATTTATGTACTGTGTTCTTTCATTTTGACTGAGCCAGAGATGATATAGCTTTATTTTTGTTTTTATCATACTATTTTCTACCTTTGACTGTAGACATTCAGATATGTAAATAAATAGCTTCTGAATTAAATTAAAAGATATTATCTTCTCTTTATTGACCATGAGTACTGTTCTCACATCTTCAGACCCCCTTTGTCTCATTGACTGTGCACATTAAGGATAAAATATGTAATTTTAGAAAGGCTAAAACTTCAACACACATGCTCATGTATCATTCAGGGATGGAATGAAATCTAGCAGACTCTGAGCTAGTTGGAATGTCTTATGCATTTGATTCTGTGATAAGGAGGGGCTACTAGTCAAATACTGATTATCTCCATGTCCTTTGGGTCACATAGGCCTATCTCAGTCTATGTCTTCCCATTTTTCTAAAAAAGGTCTGTGAAAGTGCTTGCTTTTCTTAACAAACAATTGCATTATTTTCAATTTCCTTGATTGACTGATTTTGCCAATGCCAAGGCAAAATCTAGTGAAACCATAGTGGCATTATTTTAATGAATTTTATGAATGCTTAATTTGCTTTTAAAACTTTTTGTACATATATACCTATTTTTCTTCCTGAGTCAAGTAGTCTCTGGAATATCAAGAGAATATTGCGTCTCTCCATAGCATTTTAGATCCAACTAATTATGCATAGTTCTCAGTGAGTGGTTTGAGATGGTAAATTTCTGAAGAGTATTTGAACTTTTTTATAAGGATGGAGATGCAGTAAGTATATTTGTGCCTGTGTGTGTATTATGATATTTTTGGTGTACATGTGTATATAGGTCTTGGGAGTAATTTTATGGGAACATTTTTTAAATGCATGGGAGGTAGTTTTGGCAGAAATATTGCATGCAAGTAAGGAAATATACCCCTTGCACGAATAAAGAAATCTATTGTAACTATGTGGCCAGTCTGAAACTTACAGGAAAGGGTATAACACATGCTGCTTTCTACTGCTGGCAGGTGGGTACTGAGTGATGGTCATAGCCAGAAGGTGTCTATGTATAGTATCCATGTTCTTGAGTTAAATGATCACCTTCATCCTATGCCCACAGCCTCCTTGTTCAGAAGCCTACTGAGGACTGCAGTATCAGGGAAAGAGGTTGACAAACATTTGCACAATCGGTCATTCTGTTCTCTTTATAAAAATCTATCTCTGGTGTTCCTTCAAAAGTTTATATTGAAATCCCAAATTACATGTTACTATGTTACATAAAAGATATAAAGGCATCGAAGTTCATCTGATTTGGTGTGTTATAAACAGTAGCAGTTTCTGGGCTGTGTGAACAGGCCCACTGGAGAATAGAATATGACGGTCTGTTTCCAGAAGCACAGTGGAAGTGAAAATGAACAGCAAAAAAAAAAAAAAATATGATGCAGAGTACATCTATAAAGGATATTT